GCTGTGGTGGTTTATTTAACATTCTTAGAGCTCCTCAATCCCACCCCGGAAAATCAGAGGGCCTGGGATTGCCCAGTCAAATAGTGCTAGAGACCGGATAGCTCCAGAGCTGTGGCTCCCAGACAAGGGCGCTTCTCACATCCTGATCACAGCCCCACCACCACCACCACCACAAACACACACACACACACACACACACACACACACACACACTTTGAAAATGGAAACAGTAAGATTCTAAACCGGTAGATTCCAGAATTTGGATTTTAGAATCAAAATTTCTCAGACACAACTTGACATTTGGTTGCTTTGATGGGAAAAAAATGAATGTTCCCTTTACTCATATAGGGAAGGAAATACATATCTAATTGTTTCTCCCTATCTGTAACTTAAAATAACAAATAAAACCATAAGAATCCTGAGGATCTTGAAGACAGAGGCGCACATGGTAAATGTCAGTCTATAGGATGCTAGTTCCTTCAGATCTTCTTGCTACTTCAATTTAAAGTACCACTTTGGTACTCAACAGCCAACTTTCCAGATAGAATTTGACCTGGGGCCATTTTCAATTAGGCTGACAAGGAAATACGGATGCCTCTCAACTTATGAGGGAATAATATCCAAATAAAATCCGTTGTAAATCAAAAATATAAACTGGAAATTCATTTCATGTTTCTAACCTGCTGAATATCATGGTTAAGCCTAGCTGACATTAAACATGCTCACTTTTAAGTTAAATAAACAAATGAATTTTAAAAAATCATTTAGTAAGGGCTGGGGATTTAACTCAGTGGTGCCGCTACCTGACTCACAAGTGTAAGGTCCCAAGTTCAACCTCCAGTACCAAAAAAGGAAGAAAAAAAAATCAATAAAAGATTTTCACTTGATAGATCAAGCTTCAGGGTTTGTTCTTTCTTCAGAGATTCTCCATGGTTCAGTGATTCCAGGTGCCTGTGAACTCTCACCCCGAGCAAAGTGCTACTGTGTAGACAGCAAGCTTTGGAGACAGATAAGCCTGAGTTTCACCTGACCTAACACTCACTAGTTATTAGACCTTAAGCCACAAATTTCCCAGTTCCCAGGCTTATCATCTATAGAATGGGAATAATAATGATAATACCTACCATATAGGGCTGTTGTGAAGTTTAGGAAAGACACTACAGGCATAGGCGCCTAGCAAATGTCTGCCAAATCAGTAGATCCTTATAAATAATTGTCTTTTGGATCTCCAAATTGAAGAACGGAAAGGGGTGGTCCAGGAATCACAGGAGGGGACAGGAAAATCATAGGTGGTAATGATAGAGGGAGATGTATGTGCATGAATATCCCAAAACAAAAACCACTATGCTATATAACTAATATACACTAATAAAAATGTTTCAATTTCAAAAGTCTCCCTTCTAGGCAAAGCCATAGGAGATCTTTGTGCATTCAATGATTAAGTTAGTCAATAAATATTCACTAAAGTCCCTGTCCTGTATCATGTTCTGTTAGGCTATAGGGTTATAGAAAAGGAAGGTACTGTCCAGATGCCCACCACCGGCACCCCCTCAACTCCAAGCCCCAGTGCAGGGGCACAAGCCCGGGAAGGCTCCAGTGAAGGACTGGGGTTGAAAGCCAGCTAGACGGACCATGCATCCAGGCAAAGCCTCTCTTCCTCTCAACCCAGCAACTGCTTGGCGCTGCCTAGCAATCAGGAGAAAGCAGACTTATGAGAATGGATTTATCCCAAGTGATGTGGCCCCATGTGGCTGGAAGTATTGGTGCTAGAGATATAAGGGGAACAGATGTAACTCCCAAAGCTGCTAGATATGTGAAACATGAGTTTGTGTTCTCTAAAATCCAAGAATGAATTCTAGGAACAACAGAGGTTACGATAGTTTATTGAGGAAAGAAGGCTTCTGTCTAAGAGAGACCAAAGGGGAACCAGAAAATGGGTTGCCCGCCCTTCTCATTTTTCAAAGGCATTTTAAACCGCAAAGTCATGAGGGGAGGCAGGTACTAAGTGGGACAAAACTGTAAGACCCAATTGGAAATTACAAGATGGGAACGAGGTGGGACAAACCCATGATCGACCAGTAAGATTACAAGTACAGCCACCCAGGTAATATTGATTAGACAGGGATCAAATAGGAAAACAAATAATATACAAAGAATTTCCCCATTAAGAATATCAATCACTGCTATTCATCTCTGAGGGAAGTAATACCTCTTTTCTTTGATTTTGGGTTTTTTTTTTCTTGGTACCAGGGATCAAACTCAGGAACTTGCAATTGCAAGGCAGGCACGGTGCCACTGAGCTAAATCCCCAGCCCCCTCTTTTCTTTTTTATAATGCTAAACAGTGAATGTGCCTCAACTGCTCTCCATGTTGGCTCCTTGAGGGCTGCCCAGTCTAACTGCCTACAAAATAGCTAATTAACTTACCTATCTGCAATACTAGGAACCTGTTTTTTCCTTTACCTCAACCCATTTTCCCTACCATCCCTCTATTTGCTCTCATATTATACTTTTAAAACCTCAGACTGGCAGAGGAGGAAAACCTTCTAGAAAATCTGTGCTCCTACTCTTGAGTAAAGTGGCAGCACTAAAAACTCTTTCCAAACAACCAATCTTGAAATCAGACTTTGTCTCAAAATAAAAAGGGCTGAGGATGTAGCTCAATAGTAGAGTATCCCTGGATTCATCCCCAGAGTAACACACACAGGGGGGTGTAAAACTGAAACTACACCCATTAAACAACATTCCTCATTTCCCCAGCCCTTAGTGACCACCATTCTTACATTCTGATTCTCTGAATTTGACTGCTCTAGGTACCTCATACAATTGGAATTGCACAATATTTGTTCTTTTTACTAGATTATTTCATTTAGCATAATATCTTTAAGGTTCATTTGTGTTGCAGCATGAGTCAGAATTTTCTTCTTTAGTCTTTGGTAGTACTGGAGATTGAACTCAAGGGTGCTCTACCACTGGGCTACATTCCCAGCCCTTTTTTGGTTCTGAGTCTAAATTACCAGCCTGGCCTCAAACTTGCAATACTCCAGCCTCAGCCCCCAAAGAGTAATGATTACAGGAGTGCATCACCATGCTCAGAATCTCCTTCCTTATTGAGGCCCAATAATTTTCCATTATAAGGGATATAATACCACATTTTCTTTAGATCTGTTGACGGACATTAGGGTTGCTTCCACCTTATGGCTATTTCAAATAACAATGCTATGAACTTATGTTTACAAAGAGCTCTTCAAGGCCCTGATTTAAATTCTTTTCAGAGCTGGGAATGGTGGTACACATCTGTAATCCTGGTACTTGTGAAGCTGAGACAGGAGGATGGCTGTGAGTTTGAGGCCAGCCTGGGCTACATATAGCAAGACCCTGTCACAAAAAACAAAACAAAAAAACCTCTTTTCAGTATATATACCTAGAGGTGGAATTGCTGGATCATACAATAATTATTTTCAATTTTTCTAGGCAGCATCATATTGTTTTACACAGTGGCTACACTAATTTATATTCCCTCCAACAGTGCACGGGGATTCTGACTTCTCTACATTTTTGTCAGTCCTTGTTATTTTTAAAAGGTTTTATGTTTGCTTGCTTGCTTGCTTGCTTAATAATCATCCTAGTGGGTGTGAGGTGGTATCTTATTGTGGTTTTAGTTTGCATTTTGCTCATAATTAGTGATGTTGAACTTTTTTATATGCTTATTTGGCCATTTGTTTTCTCTTCTGGAGAAATGTCTATTTAAATCCTTTGCCCATTTTTATCCGGGTTTTTAATTTTTTTATTATTGAGTTGTAGGGGCTATTTACACACATTCTAGATATTAACCCAAGAGTGCTGGGACTGGTAACACATGGTTAAGGTTCACTATATTTATAAATGTACAGTATTTCCAAGAATTCTTTAAGCAGTTAGCAGTGCCTATTTTTCCAGACAACTGAAGTTTTAAAAAGAAACAAAAAATACACTTAATTTGTGAAAGCAAGTATTAACAAAGTTGGTAAATAAGTTTAAATATTAATCATAGACTTTTAAAAGTCAGTTACCCAAAAAAGTCACTGTTAAAATTTATTGCATTCATCAGTAGATTAATAACATTTGCAATTGAAAATTAAAAACCTAATGAAGAATGAAGTTTAAGTTGCAGGTTAAAAATTCATATATTAACTTTAAAAATCAAAGTAGACCGTATCTTTTCTCTACTCCAAAATCTTAAGAGCCTCGAACAGGGTAGGTTGCTTACCCACAGTTCAAAGGGCTCAAAATCAGACCTCACACTCACTCTGAACAGCAAGGCCTCCAAAAAAGCCTGGATTTATGCTACAAATCACTTTGGAAACACTGTAAAGACTAAAACAAAAAGAAAAGATTGCAAATGATGTATCTAGTGTTGTCACTTACTGTATTTGACTTTCTTACTATACAATGTCAATCAACAGATGCTCACTGTACCTCAGCTACATGCCCTACGCTAGAATACTAAAACAAGGGACACGCTTCCTGTCTCCCAGGGCTTCGCAGCTCACAGTGGACTGTTTCCTAGGAAACCTGACATTCAGGAGTAAGACACAGGCTCTCTCCTGCTGGGCAGCAGCTTACACAGTAAATGGTTCACTAGTCTGTTTGATTCAGTTCAAAATCTATTTGTGACCAACACCAGAAGGCCAGCTGTTCGCCCTCTGCCTTGGAGCCAGAAAACATCTTCTCTATCTGAGGAGTCAGCCAGACCTTGAATCAAAACCTTCACAGACTTCTTAGTCTGCTGCCAATTTAAGGAAGTCCCAGAGATGATAAGTCCCTAGCTTACAAAACAGATATATTAGGCATCGAGAGATTTACTGTGTCTCACAGATTCCCCAAAGAGTTGCTTTCAGCAATGAGTGTCCCTTGGGCATTTAAATTCTGATTCTTTCTACACCTGAAACTCAGTTCCTATGAAACCAGAAGATACCTACTCTCTAGAAGTAGGTGAGCTTGTGGTGCTTTTGTACTTACCATCTGGAACGGTCCCGTGAGCCTTGGCAACGTGGCCCAGTTCCTGCATCAACCCCTGAAAGCAATCCTTACAGAGTAAATGTTGGCAGGGTAGAAGCCGACAGCCAGTATCATGCAGATCCTGCCCACACAAGGAGCAGGTCGGTGCCAGAGCTTTCGTATTTATGTCCTTAGAGCAGTGTTTCTGGCCAACTAGCGGCTGTCTCCAAAAACCCATGCCCATGCCTGTGCCCGTACCCAGGACAGGGGCTTTTCCAGTGACATCCTCAGGCGTGAAGCAGTGTGTACAGCGAGCAAGTTCTACTCCCTGTAAGCGAAGCACAGAACAGAGTGACATTTCTTTTGGGAGGGGGAGTTCCTGGGCAGATCAGAGAAGCCTTGGAGAACAAAGCCTTACAAGTACAGCTCATGCCCCTCCCCGGAGCTATCTTCAGCCTGAACCCTGACCTTGAGCCCAGAAAGATTCCGGCCTCTGCCGCGGTATACAAAACCTGCAGGTGTCGGCCAGGTCGTATGTTTCTGACAAGGTTTATTCGCTCTCAAAAGTGTCCCAGATCTCCTTACTGGTAGACAAGTTTGATCCAAGTTTTAACTGCCGAAAAGGGTAAGAAATTTATTAGGTGCAAAGTTTAGGCCAAGTACCATATGTACATTTCAATCCCCACAATGAACCTTAGAAATAAGGATTATGACACTTCTACGTGTTAAATAGAACCATTTTTTTGGAATTGGCTGAAGAAATTGAGCTGGGAGAGGGGATTCACACGCTCATGGCAGGTGGCACAGTTTGGATTCAAATTCAGTCCTTCTGATTTCAGATGCCATGCTGAACTACTGATATATTTGCAAGCTGAGGTCCACACGTAGATTTCTCAGGTGTTTTCTCCAATAATTAAAACAAAACAAAACTATTGCTTCATTCCATAAGAGAGTTTATGAAGGTTTAAAAACTCTGGATCATCTACCCTGAAAAGATATAATGGGCAGTGGTAAGTTTAGGATCTAGTTCAGACCACACAGTATAACTTAGATAAATGAGGAGAGGCAGCTAATGCATAAATGATAGGTTCTTGCCACATGAAGTCTAATTCACATTGTGGCACACAGTGATAAATCTTTTGTGGAAGCAATAGAGGAAGTAGGAAAATTGTGGTATATGTTTGCTGATTTGGCCACAGCAGTAGGTACCAATTTAAGTTACAGTGGAAGTTTAGTTTAACAAAACGTAATCTTTCAATGAAATTAATAGTTAATTTGTTTGGGTTCTGTAGTTTCCCTGTATACTTGCAGACTATATTTTATTTTATAATTGTATAAGAGCTAACCTCAAAAGGAAGCTGTATCTGTTTTTACATTTGTGTTTACTTAAATAAAACAAAAATCACAATGCAACATGCAAGCTTGAGGAAAAAAATATCTTTAGTTCAAAATCTTTCGGATCCCAGACCATTAAAGAGCTCACTAAATTTAGTGAGAAGAATGACATTATGATTTCATATCTGTAAACCTCTTTAATATCTAGCTTAATAGAAGATAGCTGAATTCTCAAACTTGCTTCTCCAGCCAATCTATGTTGTTTTGTTTGTAATATAAGAAGAAAATTCAGCTTTGCGCAGATACACGTTTGGAAAAATAGGAGTAGTATAATAACCTTATCAAGTAATTGTGGATATTCTTGATGCTATACAGAAATTCACAAAAAGTAGTTTCTTAAATGTTAGTTATAAATGGAAGCCAAAATAGTATCAATGAACTTTCCTCACTGTCACATCAAATCCTTGATCTAAGCCAGGTGTGGTAGAATACACCTGTACTCCCAGCACTCTGGAAGGCTGAGGCAGGAGGATCACAAGTTCAAGCCCACTGTGGGCAACTTAGCAAAACCCAGTTTCAAAATTAAATTATATATATAAAGGACTAGAGATATAGCTCAGTGCAACATCCTTTGGTTCAGTCTTAAAAAAAAAAAAAATCTGATCTATCTTGCACTTTGAACCAGACTAGAGTTGAAAACCAGCTGCTTTTTCCTGTTCTAATCAGGCATAATTTTATAACACTAAGCATTGGTCATTTGGGGAAAAAAAATTGGTTTGATGATATTCCAAATACTGACACATTACACAATAATAAAAAATTACACTTTAATATCACTTCTAATTTCTTCAGAAAATTCTTTAAGTTTTGGGAAGCTGTCAAACTCATGGAGGTATCAAAAACATACCAGAATTCTGAAGTTTTAGCATTGGCAACAAACACTGTTTAGTTTTGAAAAAATATCTACCAAATTCTCAAGTCTCAATAATCACAATTTATTCATTGTCCTTTTATGAAAAACTGTTGTCCCATGAAAAAAGTCTGATGTAGCCTGGAAGCCAAAAGCACACATGCAGTTTCTTATTTTGATATATAGCATAAGAACTGAACATTTTCAAACAGGATATTTAAAAGAAATATATTCAAGCATTGATATTTAAGAAAATTTTTACTTCATCATCACGGACATTCTCAAATTAAATTAGTTTTTGTTGTTGTTGTTATTGTTGCTATGATGTTGTTTTGTTTTTGTTTTCAAAGAGACAGAGGTGGGAGTGGTAGCACCCATAATCCCAGCAATTTGGGAGGTAAGGCAGGATGATCACAAATTTAACACCAGCCTGGGTAATACAGTGAGACCTTGTTACAAAAATAAAAAAGAGCTTAGATGTAGGTCATCAAGAAGGGCCTGAATTCAACCCCGGTACTGGAGGGTGGGGAAGTGGGGAAGGGTTGTAGGTCTTACTATGTTGCCCACACTGGCCTTGAACTTTTGGTCCTCCTATATCACTCCCCTGAGCAGCTAGACCTACAGGTCCACATCACTGCACCTGGCTTAAAACAAGCTTTTTTTTTTAATTGCAAGTATCCAGTGATAAAGGATATAATGACATAATTACCTACACCAGTTTGTTGCCCAAAGCACCAGCAGTTCTACACCATTGCTTTGGCCCCATCAATGCAAATGTTGATCTAGTGGAAAGGTCAAATAACATTTTGCTATTACCATGAAAACTTTTTATCTTGTGGACACCCTGAAAGGGTTTCAGGAACCTCCACAAAATCTACAGATCACATTTGGAGAACTGGTGTGTTAGATCTCACATTACAATCCCCAATAGCACCAAAAAAAAAAAAAAAAAAAAAAAAAAAAAAAAACAGATTTTGGGTCCAATGCTGCCAGATCTTCCAGATCTTTATTTTTCAGAACATCAGAAATCCGCAGTTTTATTTGAATTTTAAAAAACTGACAACTATGTTAGTGAGCTTTCTGTCTCTACAATAAACACCTGATAAATGAGGTAGTGTGTTTTTTTTGCTCACAGTGTTAAGGGTTCTGATCGATGATCGATGGATCCATTACTTTTAGGCCTCTGATGGGAGTGCCAGATGGCACTGATGAGGACTGCTTGGCAGAGCAAAACTTCTCACCTCACAGTCAGGGAGAGAAAAGAGAAGAAAAGGGAGCGACCAGGGCCTCACAGCTCCCTCCAACGCACGCCTCCAATGACCTGGAGACCTCCCATGAAATCCAATGTTTTAAAAGGTTACATAACCTCCCAAAAGCACCTTGCTGGGGGTCAGGTCTTTACCACATGGACCTTTTTAGAGGACATTTACAGTCCAAACTATAGCAGCAACTAATTAAATTTTAAAATGTAAGACCTAGGCATGGTGGTACATGATTGTAATTCAAGCTACTCAGGAGGCTGAGGCAAGAGGATCACAAGTTCAGAACCGTCTTGCACAACTCAGCAAGATCTTAACTTGAGGGAAAAAGAAGGGGAGTTGTCTTGGGGATATAGCTCAAGTGGTACTGTGCTCACCTAGCATGCACAAGGCCCTGGGTTCAATCCCCAGTACTACAAAAATAATAAAATATAATAATAAAAATTTTAAAATAGAAAACGAATCAAATAACATATACCAGCAACATCCAGTTTATGTTCTCTGCTTTAAGTCATGGAAAATCCCGGACTAAATGAAATAACAGTATGAATGTAGGGGAACCCCACCTATAATATTACCTTGTCATAAAACTGCTTCTTTTTAACATCTTACCACATCTGGTTCTAAGGGAATGAAAGTATTCAATGAATCTCTTTAACTTTGCCAAGGAATGATGGGCCAAATCACTGTGCATCACATTGGGAGTAAAAATTCCAAAGATCATTCCCTTGGGTACCAAAGAACAATTATTGTCAAAATTTAGTATTCATTTTAGGAAGAAAATTGAGGGAGAAATACTAGAAAATCAGAGGACACCCTTTGTTAGACTTGTAGCACATATTTATTTTTGGTTCTTTGTTTACCATCTTGTCTTGGACACGGTTCTGGGACACAACCCTAGAGCAAGAATTTGTCTTTCTGGTTCACCACTGTATCTGTCCCTTGCTGCCTGGCACCTATATATAGTGTCAGAACATAATATGTACTCAAAATACATATTTGTAAAATGAACAAGTGAAAGAATGACTCTCAGTGTTTTCATTACAGGACAAGAAAACTGAGATTCCAAGAGAATATGCTGATTATTCCATATAATTCAACTAGCAAAAAGCAAAACAAAACAAAAACTAGGAAATAAATCCAAGCTTCTGTGTACTTTCCATTAATTTATTCCTCTGAAATTAAAACTAAGCCCCTCTTTTTTTGTGTGCTATGGAATGATCAGCTCTCAAAAACTACAATTTGCATGGAATCCCACCCAGCACTCCAGGAGGCTGAGGCAGAAGGATCACAAGTTCAAATCCTGCCTAAGCAATTTAGCAAGACCCCCGTTCTCTGAATTAAAAAAAAAAGTGGGGGGATTAGGAATGTAATTCAGTGGTAGAGCACCTCTGGGTTTGATCCCTAATACTGAAGAAAAAAAAAAAAAGACTACAATTCCTTTCTTCACACTTTGCTATTCTGAGTTTAATAGCAGGATTTTCCACCCTAATTTTCAATAAACATTTTAGGAATACAACTGCAATGATACAATGAGATTTTTTTTAAAAGAAACTATCAAACATAGGAAAGAAAGACTCCTAGAAATTCCTAATCCTCAAATTTAGAAAGCTGAAGAAAAACCCCCTAATGATTAGTATTTCTCTCTAAATGCCACATTTCAAAAACTACAGAAAAAAGCACTGTGAGTCTAGGGAAGTTGAAATGACATTGGAAACTGTATATACTGCTGGTGTGTAAGTTGGTACAACCCACTTTTTAAAATAGCAACATAAAATGAATCATAAAAAATGTTCTTACCCTATAATCCAGCAATGTCACTCCTGGGAATTTATCCTAGATGAGTTGTTCAACAGAGGAAGAAAAAACTATCAACAGAAATGTGGCTTGCATCCTTGTCTCTAACAGCAGAGAATACAATATACAAACAAAAACAAATAAAATAGATTCACAAGAAAATGGCTTAATAAAGTACATGCCAAAGATAAATTACTCTTCAGCTAGTAAGAATAATCTTGAGGGCTGGGGATTTAGTTCAGTGGTGCTGCCACCTGCCTCACAAGCACAAGGTCCTCAGTTCAATCCCTGGTACAAAAAAAAAAATAATGATAATAATAATCTTGAACTCTAGGTAATGATACAGGAAAAAATGTCACAGAATGAAATGAACACCAGACTACAAAAGGATTAATATACTATGATCACTGACTTTGCATACAGCTATATCACCATTAAACAAGAGCTGAAAAGTGATATTTAGAAATGAAAACAATATTGTAGGATGGTTTGAATTTTTTTGTTATTGTTCTTTGAGACAAGGTCTGCTGTACTCTTGAACTCCATGTATAGGCTGGCCTGAAACTCATGGTGATCCCCCTTACATCAGCCTCCCAACTACTGGGATTACAGATGTGCACCACCACGCCCAGCCTGGTATGGTTTGAAGTGTGTATACTTACTGTTTTTTCATAATTTTTAATGTTGCACCATTTTTCTATTGCATATTAATTTTTTAAATTCTTTCTAAAATAAATTTGGATTTCTGGGCTTTTCTTTAATTCTCCTTTAGGGAAAAAAAAAAAAGAGATTCTGGTTCCCCCCATCTTGAATTAACAGTAATCTACTTTTTAAAAAAAAGTGACAAATATGTCAGCAACATTACTGTTGCTCTTTGAAGGACTAATGATGAAATCAGGAACCCAGAGAGAAGAGAAAGGGAGAAAGACCACCAGGATCTCAGGGTAGCAGTGCATTCCCAGGGTTAACTTAGGAGGGCTCTGACGTAGACAAAGTTCAGCACCACATTTAGCTGCCTCACCAGGCTGCTGCCTGCCATCAGTTCCCTTTGGCTCACTTCACAGGGAAATGTGAGGCCCTGACTCTCTGAGGGATGTCAGGTGTCTGAGATGTCACAAGGCTATGCTTTACTTCAGAACAGATGTCACAGAGTACAGCTCTCAGGGGTCATGTCCAAGGTCATTCATGAGAAAGCTCAGTTCTGTCTGTTCTCTCAAAGCTGGCTGACCTAGAGAATGCACATCACAGGAGCCACATGTTTAAGTCACATAATTGTCTCAAGAAGTAGAGGGAGCTGGCTACAAAATCACAGCCAGACAACTGTCCAGGGCACTCCTTCCACCCTGGAAATCGACCCATCAATGAGGAAAATATGAGGTGAACACAGAACCCAACACAGAGTCCTGGTCCCAGTCGGGGAGGCCTTCTGTTCAAGGCACAGAAGGATAAGATGTTGTTCCTCTATGGTCAGAGGAAACTAACTATTCAGAAGCAGTGTCCTAGCATCCAGAACTCGACATCCACCCTTTCACAGTCTTCATCCTTGCTCCAGGCCCCCATTACAACACATTCCCGAGGCCCTGACTAGCTTACCTCCATTGACAGAACACCTACACCAGGGTAGTTCTGAGTAGCTCAGCTTGTTCCTTATACACTTATAAGCCAGTCTTGATGTCAAACAGAGGATGATTTCTTCTTAGACCTTGCCCCCTCCCCAACCCCTTTCTACTAGTCTCAGGTGGCAGGAGTAATAAAGACCATAATGCTGTGAGGTCAGACAGGGAGTGGCCACTGAGGTAAAAACAGAGGAACTAGAGAAAGGACTAATGTTGGGCCAGGCTCTGTATCTTACCACTATACAGTCTCTGGCAAGTCAACCTAATTCTTCTGTGCCAATCTTTTCATGCATAAAATGAAGCTACTAATACTGAGCTCTTAGAAAGATGCATTTGTAAATTGCAAGGTTGTCTGAAAATGTTGAGACTATGTGGACTGAGTGTCCTGAGAAGAAGAATAATAAATGAAACTTAGAAGTTGAGGAAGATTCAGGAAGAGGACCGGCACTTCAAGCATGAAAAATAGCACAAGTAAAGGCAAAATGGAAAAGAGAAGTACTGTACCAAATATGGCTGCATTAGAAAGTTTGTGTAGTGGAGATGAGATAGGTAAGAAAAAAGCTAAGGTAAGGTAGGCAGGTTGTATTCTGTTATAATTGGAAGCTGTTGAACTTTCTGATCACATAAAAGAATGAAAATTGTGTTTGAGGAGTACTAATTTGGTGGAGGGGTGAGGATAAGTTTAGATGAAGCTTAGAGTACAAGCAGAGTGATCACAGGAGGGACTGAAAACTCTGGAGAAAAGTTAGAATGAGATCTGAAGATAGTGGTAGTAGTGCTGAAAAAGAGGAACTGAATTTGAGAGATACTGTAAAAAAGGACAATGACACTATTATTAGAGGAAGAGAGGGTTGGGGGTCAACTTCAGGTCTCCCTGACATCATTATCTGGGTGGACAGTGTGTCACTCATCAAGATATAGAATAAAAGAGCTGGCGATTTAACTCATTAGTCCACTGCCTGCCTCACAAGTGCAAGATCCTGAGTTCAATACCCAGTACAAAAAAAAAAAAAAATTAGAATAAAGAAGGTACCACGAGCAGAGATGACTGAGCTCTTCAGATATGTTTATCTGTAGATACAAGGGATTCTAACCAGTAATTAAGTAAATGTATGGGTGTGGTACTCAACAATTGAGATATGAATTGAAGTCACCCAAAAAGCCAAGGACAGATTAAGGAACATCAACATTTAAACCGTGGACAACATTGGAAGAGCCTGAAAAGACTGAGAATCACCCAAACAAGTAGAAGGAAGGCAAGAATTCCTTCTGAAAAGCAAGTCAAAATAGTACATCAGAAAGAACAGGTGGTATGAAAAATGATAAATGGGAAATCGCCACTTGGCAATTAGCTCACTGATGGCCTTAGCAAGAGTAATCCCTGAAGTAGTGAAACCTAATGACAATTTGTAGTAGATTTAACAATGAACAGAAAGTTAACAAATGGGCAGGACTTGTAGGATACTCTTTCAGGGACCTGACCGCACAGAAAAAGGGTAGCAGACAGAGAATTTAGTATATTTTAGCTAGAATATACTAGCTGAAGAGAGGAAGGCAGAGAAAAATATACTCTCAAAGAGAGAAGAGAGAGAGAGAGAGAGAGAGAGAGGGAGAGAAATTGAGGGAATGGGATATTGAACACTGTTGAACACTGGTTGGTGGAACCTACTAAACAGAATGCCTTTTCCACTGCTGAAGAAATGCTTATTTCTTAAATAGATACTACATGCCAGGAACTAGAATTGCCTGTAGTAAACACACAACAAAAATATTTGAGCCCTTAAAGACTTTGGTCTAGTAGGAAAAACAAACGTAAAATTATATGAGGTCTGTACTAGACTGTGAGGCGGCACAGATGAGCAAGGGCGCTTCTGCGACTGAAGGGGTCAGTTGCACTGAGGACATGCGGGCTTCCTGCTTCCGGTGCCTCTCCGGTCCAGGAGAGGGAGGAGTCAGGTGAGTCCCAACCAGGTTCCGGAGAAAACTTGAATGTGACATTTACAAAGTATTTGCAAGATCAAGGTCCCTGAAACATAGCAGCTGTTAAAATTTGAGGGGACGCCCGTGAGGCTTGTGCCCACTCAGGACGGGGGGGCGACAGGTCCTGGGGCTGACACAGCAGAAGCGACCAAGAGCTTCTGACAACACTCGGGTCCAAGCGAGGCTAAACAGTTCCCAACCGAAAACCCACTCAATTTCGCTGCGACGTGAAAACCGCACCTACCTCAAGCTCGCGAGACCAAAGAGGCCCCGCCCAAGGCCGGCCCCAGGCCGGAAGTGAGGCGCTTGGCCCCGCCCCCGCGCTCGATACCTCGCGAGACTTCTCAGAGCCTCCCTCTCTCCTCTCGGCCGCCGACATGGTAGGTGTTTCTCGTCTGTGCTTCCTAGTTGGTGGTGACCCGGAACCCCGCTCCCTTGCTTCTTGGCCACCCACTTTCGACTCTGGCCAGGCTTTCCAGGCTGCACGTGGCCGATCGCGGGGCAGGATGGTCGGCCAGGGCCGGGAGCCTGCGGCCGCGTGTTCAACCCGGCTTTCGGATCTGTGAGACAGTGCGTCACCCTGATGAGGCCGTGCGGCCTCGGGCCAGTCTGTAGCCTCAGCCTTCTCGCCGAACTCCAGAAGTCAGTCCGAAGGCCTGCGGGCCCATCTGATTGGCCGGCGTCGGCCCCTGCACTTCTTAGGCCCTATCACTAAATCCCTTTTCCCACACAGCCATCCAGACTGAGGAAGACCCGGAAACTTCGGGGCCACGTGAGCCACGGCCACGGCCGCATCGGTAAGTGCAAGCTTCTCCTGGTCTACCTTGGGCTCTATCGAGTGTTTAGTCGGGACGTAAAGAGCTTAAAATGAACTCCAGTAAAGCCTGTCAGCAGTCCTGTTGGACTGAATTGGACAGCTGTTTATTTTTTGTCTTTGAGGAGCCTCGAGGACTCCTATTGTAGAGAATTTATCAGGGTAATAATAAAAGTTACTACTAAAAAGTGCAGCATTAGGGCCAGGGATTTAGCTCAGCGGTTCGGTGGCCTGCCTGGCAAGCGCAAGGACCCGAGTTCAATCCCCGTTACCCACCCCACCAAAGTGCAGTATTGAATTCGTTGAATACAGGAGGGAACACAAAAGGTGTTTTAACTTGGAATCTTGGAGCAGTGGTAATGCTGAAAAGGAGGTACTGTGCGCCATGAGTAAGGACACTGAAGCATGATGAAGTGCTCAAGATACTGCTGAGGGGCTAGAGAAAGCTACATGAACCATGTAGTTTGATATTCCTACAGGCAAGCACCGGAAGCACCCAGGAGGCCGGGGTAATGCGGGTGGCATGCATCACCACAGGATCAACTTCGACAAATAGTGAGTGTTCCTTGGATTGTACTTTGGCACAGCTTAGGAGGTAGTTGCAGACGAGGGTAACTTAGAATTTCTGTGGAAACAAGCCTCTTAAAAACTGCTTGTTGGCTGACTTTTATCGCATTAACATTGGACATGAACTGAGAGAATCTGTTACCGAGGCTAGAGTCACGCTTGGGTATTGGCTGTTGCCTTAGTGTGCTAGAGTCCTCGAAGAGTAACTGCTGACCTTATTCACTGGCTGTGGGCTTCGTGCCACAGTCAGTCACCAGGGTAGTAACATGCTTTGGATTTACCTACACGGCTGTGAGACCTTTTTTTAATGTATCAGTTAGGAAACATCTGTAAAATAGTGTAGGCTTTATTTTACATAGATCGTGTCAGGTAACTTGGCTTGCACCGAAACTTAACTGGTCCCATGAAATAAGACTAGCCTTCCAGCATTTGGTGCTTTCTAAAGACTTGTGTAATTGAACAAATGTATCAAGTTCCTGCAAGTCACTTATACAGCAGTAAACAATTTACACATCAGTGGAGGGAGATAACTGTAAAGATGATAAATATAGCTTCTTAATTGGAATGAGCTTATTAAGATAGTTGTTTTCTCTTCCCAGTCACCCAGGTTACTTTGGGAAGGTTGGTATGAGGCATTACCACTTAAAGAGAAACCAGAGTTTCTGCCCAACTGTAAACCTTGATAAACTGTGGACATTGGTCAGTGAGCAGACACGAGTAAATGCTGCGAAAAACAAGAATGGATTGGCTCCCATCATTGATGTAGTGCGATCGGTAAGTGAATTAGATATAAGTGGAACTATTTTTCACTCCCCAGCCTGTCTTGGTCTGTTATACCTCTCAAGTGAAAATTCCCAGTATACAGATCAGTCACATGGTTTGCTTATGTTTCTGGAAAAACCTTTGGAGAATAATCTTTCTACTCCCATTTATTACACAATTTCGCCATGCCCTTCCAAATGGTAATCAGTGCCTAAGTTTGCCCTGATTCGAACAGCCTTATATTCCTTGGCTTGAGCTATAACTGGCTCTAGTCTTGAGGCAAAGCTCACGGTCCTTACAGAATAAAGATCTAATATGTTTTTTGGGGTCCTACATTACCTGAAGAGATTTCCTGAAAAAATGAACTATTTTGTGTATCATTGAGGGTTCTGGTCTTATGTCAGATTTACCTCCCATAAATATGGAAGTAGTCTTTAAGAGAGACCTAAACCCTAGGAATTTATTTGGGTAGCTTTGAATCTCAGTTCCTGACCTATTTAATGCCCTTTAAGCAATATTGTGATCTAGACTGACGCATTGCTGGGAATGTGATTGTGCTTTCTTATGGGAGGGAGAAGTGACCAGGAGAGATGTCTGTGCTTTGATGAGACTAGTCACACCTTGGCACCACATTTGTCCTGATATGCAAGAGTTCTCGGGGAGAATCTGCTGGTCTTCATTCAGTGGTGGAGGCCATTGGTGCCCATCAGAAACATGGCCCGTCGAGGTCCTGGAATGCTTGGGTTGACAGGCCTCTCCACAGTCCCACCATGAGTTGATAGGTAACCTGCCATACGTGGTATGTTTTAAATCCTTTTTTTCTTTATTCTTCTAGGGCTACTACAAAGTTCTTGGGAAAGGAAAACTCCCAAAGCAGCCTGTCATTGTGAAGGCCAAATTCTTCAGCAGAAGAGCTGAGGAGAAGATTAAGGGTGTCGGGGGGGCCTGTGTCCTGGTGGCTTGAAGCCACAGGACAGGGGGCTCATTAAATACCAACAAATTGTTTGCATTTTCTGGTCTGAATGTAGGTTCTTTATCATTTCTACATCCCTACCTCTATGTTGGGAACTCACCTAACAGGTTCCAAGACTATCGGGAGCATGGGCTTTTCTGTTGAGTCCCCTCAAAGTGTATCAGATTGTACTAGTTTTAAGCTTTTTCATTTAGTGGGAGTGATTGCTAATGATGGATGAAATACACGTCAAAGGGGCCCGTTGGCATTGTTCTGGGTTTTGTAGCAAGTGGGGAAATGTATCCATAGTTGTTCTGTGGGGCTGGAAAGGAAAGATTAGTCATTTGGACTGAACCATCCAAGATAACAGCCAGAATGTGCCAACACAAGACCTTGACGTGTAGACCCCTACAGTGAGAATTTGAAACATACCAGGGCTTTTAACATGAATTTGTTAAGTGGATTAGATTCTGGGAAGCAGCTATAAGGGAGGGATTCATGAGTCTTGGTGCACAGTGGTCTTGATACATGGAGAAACAAATCCTGAGTGAGGGCCAGAAAGTCAAAACTGAACTTGGCTCAGTGGGAATCTTCATATCTCCAGGAAAATTGTAATTGCTACCATTTCTATAGCTGAAATTCCGAGCTTGTTTTGACCCAGTGTAAAACAGTCTAGTATTGTTAGTGAGGAACTAATGAAGGTGGCACTTAATGGGTTTTAGTTGGAGGGTAGGCCGGAATCCTGGCTTGTGGGACAAACCTGTTGTAACAGCTTTAAAAGGATGTTGAAGGTCAAATACCAAGAAGCACAGGATAGAAAACAGTTGACTTGGATAAGAATAGGAGTCAGGAAATACTCAGGCTGTTTGGTTTTGCATCTTTGTAATGGTCTGATGAAAGGTAAAAACATGGAGGTAGGTTTGTGTGCACAGTACTTCACACTGGGCTACACCCTCAGCCCTTCTTAAATTTTTCAGACAAGTCCTTTAAATTATCCAGACTGGGCTCCAACTTGTGATCCTCCTGCATGAGACTCCAAGTGCTGGGGTACAGATGTGCCTTAGCACACCCAGGTCCACTGAGTAGTTGAGACTAATGCTGCTAACCTGCTTTTTACCCAAAGGTTGTATAACTAGGTCAAGTTCCATTTCTTTTAAGTTTTAGGTTAAAATGCCTGCTTGAGGATTGTGTAGTTGAAGTGGAATGGAGAGCATGTATTTGGCATTTATGTTTTACTTGTGCAATAGAACTATTAATGGAGCACATGTCAGTTATCCAGTTGTTTGCCAGCAAGTGGTCCAAGCAAGAATACCAAATGGTGAAATTCAGGGGAATACTTTGGAAAAGTCAGGCAAACAATTAACAGTTCCTGGAGAAATTACTGGACAGGCTGTGTAGTTCAGTGTGGACTAGTGGGGAGTTGGTGGTAGGACCAAGAAAATGCGGATGAGGATGGGAAAAGTAGGATTCAGAAGATACATTGGACTGCTGGCTTACTGGGTTGTGCAGGCCACAAAATGGTTGCAGGTTTCGGTGTTGAGGGAAAGCGTATCCGCACTAACCTTGCATAGCTACCTACAAATGGAATCCATACAAAAGTCAATTCTGTAAATAGGAAGTGCTCCAAAGATGCCACCCTATCTACTGGCCTGGGAAGGACAGCTGTACTTTTGGACTATAGACCTTGCATTTTCGTATTACATTCCAGTTGAGAGTGACAGGTGCCACTTCCATTTCAGAATAGGTTCAGTATGATGAACCCACAAGCGGGCAGTTTTAGGCTCATACTACCGCTGTCTCCAGTGCCTAATTCACAAAGTCGGTGAGATCCTCCCAAATGTGGGAAAGAGCTTTTATCAGATGGGCTCCAAGCTTTTTAGTGCATGTACCTTTTAAAATAATTGCGAAAATTTGCTATTGAGCACACCAGTTGATTCCAGTTCTGCTTTTTAAAATTGTAAAGGTTATAATTTCTGGCCTTGTATGTTTTTACTTTTCATACAAATCTCACAGCTTCCTGTATAATTTAGGAGTTATCAGAAATGTCTGCCATAAATTAACAAACAGTTAAAATCAGCTAAAACAGTCAGATTTAAATTTTCAATTAAAGTAAACGTACTAATCCTAGAAGCAGTGGTGCTCGGGCACCAAAACTACCCTGATGAGAGTGCCACTGGCAGCCGAAGGGCGACACCCACCAAGCTTCACGTCCCGCCTCTGGCCAGGGGAGCCACTTCCGCTTGGCCTCAAAGTCTGGTTCCGGGGGCCCTCGATACCCACTCTTCCCACTCCTGCTCGGCCGGAAGCACTATCAGTGCAGTTCCCATCTAGATCGATCGCTTCCGGCGGAGGGCGGGACCAGCCTATGTTGCGCCAGCGCAGTAATCTCCCTGGCGAGGAGGGAAATTCGACCCTGGTTCCGAGTCGCCCTCAAACTGAGCTCGGGGCGTCCTTGAGAACAGGAGGCGAGGTGTCTGTGATGGTATTTCCAACCCTTTACTGTTTTCCTTGTTCAAAGTTGATGATCCCCTACTGTGTTCACGGGTACCTTGAGCTAAAAAAAAGAAAATGTTTGGGGCCGGGGATTTAGCTCAGTGGCAGTGCTGTTTGATCCCTGGTATTGGGGGGAAAAATGCTTCTACATGTCTGCAAATGTTCTGGAAAAAACAACAGAAATGCAGTATGATCTTCTGTGCTTTGGGGAGTGAAGGTACTGATATGTTTTAGTACTTTTTTAGAAAAACCAAATGTATATTTCATGTTAAAAGGCAATATAAATCGACAAATTTCAAAAGCAAAAAACTTGCTGAGACAAAGTATTTTATCTAGTTTGAGAATTTTCATAAGCTTTAAATTATGCCACCTCTACAGGCAAAATTAAGACGCTTGGAATGCATACCACCACTTTATCTGGCTATACAAAATGTTTCACTCCTAGGAGGGATATAGTTGGAGCCGGGGATTTGGTTCAGTGGTGCCACCGCCTGCCTCAAAAATGTAAGGTCCTGAGTTCAATCCCCGGTGCACCCACCCCCCAAATCCGTGTGGTAGGAAGGAAGGATAATAGTTTAAGGTGTACGTCTAATCTCGTATGTCCTTTTTTTTTTTTTTTTTT